GTGTTAAATACTTTAAAAATGTGAATTTAACATGAAATTTGAAAACAGTTTTCACACAAAGCTCAGTTCAGAGCAGTGAATGTGTTCCTGGAGGTATGACAATTACACAGAACTTTACCCTGACGCCCTTAAAAAAGGACATTCCTGACATTTTTGTCTTTGTTCGTCCATTAAATAAAGGTTGTTGTTTTTTAAATACAACTTGTCGTATATTTTTGCCTTTGAATAAATATTCCAGATGCTTAAAAACACAACTTGCTTTATCCTTTATCCCTGTTGTTGGTGCTACATTCGTTTATAAACGTTCACAAATCTGGATCATAAAGATTAAAGACACTTAAATATTGATGGCAAATTAACAGTTTGTACATTTTACAAGAAAAAAATGTTGTAATTTGCAGACAACTATAGCTTTGGTTGATTATTGTCCCTTAAAAATACATAAATACAGTGTTCTAATGGAAAGCCTCGTAGACATTAAAGCTCAAACATACAGCACTGAACTGTTTAAGTAAATCCAAACAGCAGAACTTCACATCCTCCAGCAGAAAGCTGTACAAACAATCCATTTAATCAGCTCTAATAGCGGTAATTTGAAGGAAACTCTGCCCCAGTGTGATGTTTCAGAGGCCGTAGACGTTTGTTTTACCACTTTCTAGTTACTATAGTTTCCTTGACGCACTCGAAGCCAAACAAACAGGAGCTATTTCAGGACGAGGGATGTGGCCGGAGGGGGAGCAGGGGAAGACCTCGGCGAATGTGACTCACCGAGCTGCTGCAGCCGCAAACCACAGACGTTTGTGTTTGGCCCGGCCGCTGCCATGGCGACGGCGTGGCTCCGCCAAAACGCACCGAGGCCACCGTTCGCAGTATTTATGGAAAAGTAACGGGAGGGCAGCAAACACTGCCACGTATTGTGTGGAGGGGAAAGACTTAGTCATGGAGGGAAGGAGCTGCAGCCCAGTGAGCAATCAGGAGGGTATGCATGTGCAGCCGGGGAGGGGCGGCCTGCAGCTCGCAGCTCCACGCCAACACCATGTCTGACTAGAAGATCTCCAGCCGCCGCTGCCGTGCAGCTCAGACCACGTGCAGGAGATGTTCAGTCACTGGAGGGTCGAAGGAGGGAATCCGGGAGCCTCGAGGCCACCGGACGCCTCGTGATCACCAGAAAACAACAACACATCTTGTTTCAGTCGCACCGGGTTTCACCAAATCAACCGAATGGAGCCGGATGTCCAAGAACAACTCTGACCTAAGAGCTCCGTTCTCCTGCATCAGAGGGAGACTCACGGGGAGGCATGTAGTCGAGGAAATCAGTCTGTTTTANATAAAAATCATATATAATCCAATATTATATATGATAATGTGGATCATGTCATTCTGCATAATTCGTCAGAACATTTAATTGCTGATGTGTCGCACTTTTATTTAAGTGCAGCTTTAAAATGAGTGGTTTTCACATGTAATCGAGTATTTCTACTCCACTAGATGTGAGTACTTCTTCAGCTCTGGTGAGTATTTCTCCATCACATGGTGTCTGTGAACATGTTTGAACTGTGTTCGGTTCATTTGTTGGTGTGTTTCACTGGTTTCTGGACTCTTCTGGTCTCTGCTCGGTTCTCGGCTCAACACTTGGTTCCTGCTGCTTCGCCTCCCAGCGGCAGGTTCTGACCAAAACGTCTCAGGAACGAGCCTCAGTCCAGAGCTTCGACACCGAGCAGCCCGAGACCCAGAGACGGAGGTCAGCGTTCACTAAAAGTGTCTGACATGTTATAAAACTGTGAGTTACGAGCCGAGAGCTGCGCCGCGGCGGCTGGTGGCACAACATGGACCGCGTCTGTCATGTGGTTTGTGGGAAAACCCGTATTGGATCTCTGTGGTCACCTGGGCAAAGAACCTGAAAAAAGTGTCGCTGAGGAGCTCACCGTCGGCGGATGGTTGGCTCAGAGGAAATCCACACTAGACTGTGAATCTCTGGGAAAACGCACAACACCGCACAAACACACAAAACAGCAAATAATCGGCGCGTAAATGCGATAAACGGAGGAATGAAGCGAGAAAAGACGCGATAATCCGGTTTTTAGGCACCAAACTGTGCAGACTGTGAGTCACGTGGAAAGAGCCTGGTGAGAAATGAAATCTCCCAAAAACAGAGACGCTTTCAGAGCTGAAAATGCGTTTTTTCCTCCGCGCTAAAACGCTCAAACTAGTCCACTCCATGTCTTATTGAGCGCATGTCGCAGCCGCAGCTTTGCGCGGACAAACTGCAGCTGTGCGCCGCAGAGCAACAAATCCAGGACAGCGAGGACAAAAAGAAAAGCCCGGCGATCCGTTTCACAGGAGACCACCTTCGACCTGAGCGTCCAGCCGCCGAACCGACCCTCGGTGACGGTGTTGAATCCGGACTCGGAGCCGCGCCGCCGCCGCCGTGACGCTGCGTAAAAACCCGAAGCCGTTCTCGTTGTTTTCTCCGCTCCTCCGCAGCGGCCTCCATTTTAGCTCCTCGCCCGGTCGCTGCCTCACGTGTCCTGGACTGTCTTCCTCACATGACCCGTGTGTTTGTCCCCGTGATCAGCGCTTCCATCTCCGTAAATCAGTGTCGTTGAAAGTCGCCGTTTCTCGTCCACCCGCGGCGGCTCCATGGAGATGCTGGAGCAGAGTCTGGACAGCTCGGCGAGGTGAGACCCGCCGCCGGCCGCTTCCTGCTCCGCCGCGGCTCCCCTGCAGGCCCTGAACCAGCCGCCTGCCTGTTTGGAGCCACTTTTGACGTTCGTGCGCATTTGTGGAGACGCCGCGCTCCTGCGGCACAAACTGTGCGCCTTTTCTCCAAACATGTGCAGCCGTGACAGTGGAAGCAAACGCACGGCAGCAGCTCGCGTCTATTTTTAGCGTGACATGTACATGCACTGCTGGAACAGATGCAGCTCCTTTATGATCCAAATCCAAAATAAACCAAACTGAATGAGAACCAGAGGAACATTCTGCTGAAGTTTCTTTGCGCATTTGCTCAAACTAACTCACTTTTAATCCTCTTGTATTCATATTTTCCCTCCTGGAAGCTGCAGAAAACTTGTTTCTGTCACGTTTCGGTGTATTTGTGTTGTGTCCCGCTGCGGCCTGCGGGGGGCGCCCTGCTCCAGCAGCTCACTGCTGCACATGGATGCGAATTAATGCGTTTTAATTTTCAGTCTGTGCAGAATTTAAAGCGTGTGTCTGTGCTTTGGGTTTGAAACTGACTCACTGCTGCTGTTGTTTCTTCTTCTTTGTGTTTCAGTCACGACAAACAGGAAACAGAGGAGGTGGTGCAGCTACAGGAAGGTGGGAGCAGCAAACCGTCCGCAAACACAAACCTGCTGTCAAGTTTTGCATTTTTACAAACTGAGACTAAAGGCTGCACACGTTTGTTTGGATGCTCCGAGTTAAAAGGATTTCATCCTGCACTTATTACTCATTTTTAACAGATGAGCTAAAAGTTAAACTTCACTTCATCTTTGCTGTTTAATTTGTCAAAGTGTTAAAAATATCTGATTATAAGGGACCGTTTTAGCAAAAGCCATTTTATTTAAGAGGCAAACTGTGAGGCTTGGTGGCCTTTAGGTGAACATCAGGCGCTGGTTCCGGACACTTGAGATCATGAATTGTTTAATTTGTGGTATTTGAGGTGAAGCTAGTCCAGAACATGTTGGAGGAATCTGACCTCTTGATGTTTAATAACAGCTGAGTTCTTCCAGTTTTTGCTACTTAAGACTTTAATTCAGGGTTAATAACTATAAATATTTTGCTTTTCCTCAATAAAATACCTCAAAATCACATTTTAGTACGATAGTGGAGTGATTAGAAATAATTCTGTTACGCCAAAAATAGTTTCATTTGTAGGATTTGTACAGATCTGAAGTACAAAATACAAAAAAGACAGAAATCTGAGCCTTAAGGAGTCTTCACAAACAGACTGGTTCTAACTTATTGCATTGTTGTGTTCAACATACGAGCTGTAGCTGAGTATTTCCACTTAATGCTACTTCTTTACTTCAATGTAGAGGCAAATATTGTACATTTAGTCACAAAAATGGCACCAAAGTACGATATTTAAATCAATATACTGAATTACTTTTAACTTCTTGATGCAAGAAGTAGTGACTTTTGTAGGATTTTTACAGATCTGAGCGAAAAGTACTTTAGATTTTGCAAGAAAGCTACAAAAATGTGAAAAAACCTAACCTGTTAAGGAGCAGATTTTATTGCACTATAATGTGTAAAACATTCCTGGATGTCTGTTCGCTTCATTCTAGTTGTGGAAAGTAACTGAGTACATTTACTGAAGAGCTGTACTCGAGTATTTCCACACTCTGCCCCGTTATACTTTGTCTTTACTTCAATTTAGAGCCAAATATTGTACATTTACTCACAAAAAGTAGCTCAGAATTGCACTTGAGTGCGATATTTACATCAGTGCACTGAATTACTTTGAGCCACTGGATGCTGTAGATAGTTTCTGTTTAAAAGTATTCAGGATTTAGTAAGAAAAATACAAAACTAAGAGGAAACTGACCTTTTTAAGGAGGGCTGACCTGCAGAGTGGTGCTAGTTTGTGGTTCTGTGTTTGGTTCTTTTACTGGTGCTGCAAAACTTTAACTATGTTTTGCTTCCATGTACATTTTTCCGGTTTTATTCACTATTTAGTAGCTTTAAGGTTGTAAAAATCAGCTTTGTTCAAACTTTGTGGTGATAAAACTGCATCAGATTTGACTGAAGCCACAATTTATGTTGCATAAAACTCAAACTTTTTTTTGTTTTTTTAAGTTTGCACCATATGATTAATGTAAATATTGCAGCTGTATTGTGAATCTTTTTATACAAACCTTAGACACAAGTCTGTCCAAATAAGAGCCGAGCTGCCCCCTAAACGTGCCGCTCTGTGACTCTCTTCTTTCACCTGAGCAGGACTGTTGCTGAAGTAATCTGATTACCTGCCGTGTGCGTTTCAGGGGAGGCGGTGGGGACGGACGAGCCGACCGCCGTCACCATCACCGGCGTTCCTCAGGCTGCGTTCGCCGAACACAATGTCCAGTATCAGTTCAGAACAGAGAACAGCGGCGGACAGGTGAGTGCTGCGCAACACAAGAACACATCTCACCTGAGCAGCGCCGCACAACCAGACAGAAAAGTAGCGAGACAGGGCTGCAGAAACACCCAGTTCCATCCAAACACAGTGGACCAGAGCGCTTTATTCAGTATTAACTGTCTGTAGCCAACATGCTGGAGCAGATGATGGAGTTCTATCATCATGCACTTTAAGTAAAGTAGATTTTTACGACCTTAAAGCTGCTTCACGTGTGAATAAAATACTGAAACTGGAAGAATTAAGATTCTTAATGGGTTAAAACTGTTAGTTTTACATGATTTTGTTTGTTTCAGATGAACATGCTGTGAGCAATAAATTATGCAAAAATGAATTAAAAGCTTAACATTTGTCAGAAGGTTCAATAAACAGTCAAAAAACTAGAATTTTCTGGTAATTATTTCATGGTTCAGGCTTTACAGGGTTAATTTAAAGTCCCAGTATTTAGTGTTTTCAGTGATAAACTGCAACAATCTCAGATTATATGAGTTTTATCATTATACAGTTTTTGGGGGAAAAAAATGACTTTTGCAATTTTAAATCTACTTTTTAGTGAAAAAAAGGAAAAAATGGTGTAAAATAAGTGTTGAGTTAAATTACAAATACAGCAAAGTAAAGACGCGACATTACGAGTAAACATCCTGCATGACTGATATATTCTTCTATATAATATTATTTTATTATCAGTATTAAAGCATCGGCAGCAGGTTGAAGCAGTTTAAACTACTTCACATCCAGTTTTATAGAAGATCAATCTGAGGCTCCAAACATGATTAATGGGAGAAAAAAACTAAATTCTGAGACGCAAATCTGTTCTAAGTTTTTCTCTAATGTTTGATTTTTATGATTTTAATGTTAGATTTTCCTTCATTTAAACATTTATTGAAACTAATGAGACATTTAGAGAGAAATCACTATTTGCTGACTATATGCTGCTGTTTGGAGAAAAAAAAAAAGCTTAAAAAGCCGCAGATTTAATCTCTAATGATGTTTTGCATTTCAAAAACTTGTTCAATTATCGATTGTGTCAAATGTGCTGCTTAAAAACCGCTGTCAGATAAATGTGGTGGAGCAGAAAGTAGAATATCTGCCTCGGCTTGTGGTGCAGAGGACGGAGGACAGAGACGTATTCAAGATTCAAGTGTTTAAAAATTAAATGCNTGTATTTGCCTCCTATTTCTGACCATTTTATTCACATTTTATATGTGCAAGTAAATTACATTTTAAAGCTCAACTATGCTCTCAACTATGTAGTCAAGACAATTAGACTGTTTTACCGTGTTTCCTCTTCTTTCTGACCATTTGATGGACAGAAAACGTGCGTTACGCTCGAGTAGATGAGACTTTAAAGCTCAGATGTGGTCTAAGTTGGGCTTTTTCCTGGTTCAGAGTGAGTTTTTAAAGGATGACTCAGCGTAAAAGTACGATGTTCCTGCATGTAGTAATTAGCCTGTTTTAGCTTACTTTGCAGAAATCTATGTATTTTCCTGGTATAACTGAACATTTGATGAGGGGGGAAAAAAAGGATTACACTCAAGTAAATGACATTTTAAAGCTCTAAAGTTGAGTTTTTCTTGGTTTAGAGTCAGTTTTTCAGGGATGACTAAGCACAAAACTAAGATATTCCTGCATGCAGTCGAGGTAATTCGTCTGTTTCACGTTGTTTCCTGTTGCTTCTGACCATCTGATGGACAGGAATGTGCATTACAATTGAGTAAATGAGACTTTTTCTGCACATAGTGAAGTCAATAAGTCAGCTTCACCATATTTGACAGAAATCTGTGCATCTTCCTGCTTTTTCTGAGCATTTGTTTGCATTTTACTCGAGTAAATGAGACTCTTTCTGGCTCAGAACATGTTTTTTGTGGGTCGACTGTACACAAGAATCCATGTTTAGTAAAAGCAACGCGTCTGTTTTAACCGTATTTGACAGAAATCAGTTCGTTTTCCTGCTATTTCTAAACATTCGAAACACAAAACTATCAATTACACTTGAGAAAAATAAACCTCGAAGCCCGACTAGGTTTGTTTCTGGCTCAGAACGAGACTTTGGCTTCATTTTCCTGCTGTTTCTGACCGTTTGAAGAACAAAAATGTGCTTTACAATCAAGTAAACCAGACTTTGAAGCTCCGCTATGCTGTGAAGTTGAGTTTTTCCTGGTTCAGAGTGAAGCTTTGAGGAGCGATAATGCACAATATTACCATTTAGTAAAGGGAATAGGTCTGCTTGGCCGCAACTATTTACGTTGTGACCATTTGATTTACAGGAAATACGCGTCACACTCGAGTACATGAGACGGTTCCCGGCTCAGAGTGAGTTTTTAGGGGTGACAACGAGTGAAATAGTTCACATTTAGTAAAGGGAATGAGTCTGTTTTACATTATTTGACAGGAAACTCTATTTTTTTTTCTATTTCTGACTGTTTGATTAACTAAAGAATATGCTACACGTGAGTTGGCGACCTAAAAGGATTTTCCTGGCGCAAAAAGTGAGTTTTTTTTGGGTGAATAAGCACGACGGTAAAACCTTCGTGCAGGAGATAAATTAGTCTGTTTGACATTATTTTATTACTATTCCTGCTATTTCTGGACGTTTCACACACAAATACACGTCACACTCGAGTAAGAGAGACTCTGAAGCCCCACTATGATGCAGAGTTTAGTTTTTCCTGGTTTAAAGTGAGTTTTTAGGGGACGACTATGACCTAAAGGAAGCTACTCCTGCATGTGGTCGAGGTAATTAGCCTGTTGAATGTTACTTCCTGCTATTTTTGATCATTTGAGGGACAAAGATGTGCATTACAGTCGAGTAAAAGAGACTTTAAAGCTCAACTATGCTGTAAAGTTGAGTTTTTCCAGGTTCAGAGTGAAACTTTGAGGGCTGATAATGCAAAATATTCACATTTAGTAAAGGTTAAAAAGTCTGTTTGGCCTTATTTGACACACGTTTCTACATTCTGAGCTTGATTAAGTGATTCTTCTGGCTCAGGATGAGTTTTTGGGGGGTGACTATGCACAGCAGGAAGATTTTTCTGACTTTTTTTGAAGTCAATTTTAGTGTATTTGACAGATATCAGTTCATTTTCCTGCTATTTCTGAGCATTTGTTTAACAAAGACATGCATCACACTTGAGTAAAAGAGACATTAAAGCTCAACTCTGCTCTAAAATAGAGTTTTTCAGGCTCAGAGGGAGTTTTTGGGGGATGGCTCAGCACAAAAGTAAGATATGCCGACATAAAAAGTCTGTTTTAAATTATTTCCTTCTATTTCTGATCCTTTTATGTCCACAAATGTGCGTTACACTCAAGTAAATGAGACTTTAAAGCCTGATTATGTCGTTTTTTTTCCGGCTCAGAATGAGTTTCTGGGGATGACTGAGCCCAAAACTCAGATATTCCTGCATGTAGTTGAGATAATTGGCTTATTTTACATTATTTCCTGTTATTATTTCCCTGAAATGTGCTTTACACTCAAGTAAATGACACTTTAAATCTTGATTATACAGTTTTTTCTGGCTCAGAGTGAGTTTTTGTGGAAGTGACGTTGCTCAGCAGCAGCGTTCGTCCACGTTCAGTGAACCAGTGAGTCTGTTTAACCTTATCTGGCAGAAATCTGGCAGTTTTCCTGCTATTTCTGACGATTCGATGACCAAAGACACGTGTTACACTTGAGAAAATGAGAGCAAAAGTTACAAAACTGGTCAAAATTTAAGCTTTTTCTTTCTTTTCCATTCTCATGGTGCTGGTGGTTTTCCTTTGGCAGCGCCAAAAATATTCCTCTGAGCAGGAAAAACCCTTCTCCGCTTTAACTTTGGCTGAACAGAAACCAGTGCGGCGGCTACATGTGGTCATTATGGGATAACAGATAATGCTGGAGGATGAGTCATGAAGTCTGCAAAGAAACCGTCGTGCTGTAACAGCTCCTGAGTGGATCGAGACGAGCAAAGGAGCGTTTTACTGCAACTTTTAACACGTGTTTAGTCTTTTAAAGGTTTAAACTTCCACTTAAAGAAACTGTGCAGGGCTGCATGTAAGACACTGAGGGCCTCTGAGCTGATGGGGCCCCCCTGCAGCCACCCTGACTGATGTGATTCACTGCAGTTTATTTCAGCCTCGTGCACCAAGCAGATGTTGCATAAGAAGCTCTGAGACCCAGATGTGGACCCACCTGGCCTTCAGCTCCTTGTAGTCCTCCCTCAGCTTGCCCACCTCCAGCTGCAGCCTCGCCCGCTCCTTGGCCACCGAGTCCAGCGTCTGCCGGGCGTCGGCCAGCTCTGTCTCGTAGGCCGCCTTCAGCCCGGTCAGCTCGCGGCTCACCTCGGTCTCGGACTCGGTGATGCGGAGGCGCAGGCCGGCGTTCTCCGACTCCAGCGATCGCACCTTGTCGATGTAGATGGCCAGCCGGTCGTTCAGATTGCACAGATCTTCCTTCTCCTGCAGCCGGGTGATGCGGTTCGGAGACAGGGGTGTGCCGGCACCTCGGGGAGTGTTTTTGGGCGTCGCCATTTCACCTTAATGCCTTTATTGTGGAGACAGACGTGACTGCATTGTGAAATCTGACTGTAATTAGTTTGTTTTACCTGCACAATGGGACGACTAATGTTTTAATTGTGATTTACAAATGAAAAGCAGACACGGGTCACTCAACACTGAAGCTGTTTTAGTTATTATTAACACAAATCCAACAAACAAAGATGGAAAAGATGCCAAATTTATCCATAAAAGCACATTTGGCTTCAGGGGAAAGTGTTTAGAAGCAGTTTTACAGGAACAAACTCACTCTAAAACAACTCATTGTTCCAAAAAAAACCTCAAAAAACAAGGTTAGTTAATCAAAAGACAACATTGGTATAGGCGCAACTGCATTCATGTCATTTAATCGACATTTAAAGTGCATTTTTTCAAATAAATCCAGGAAAAAAGACGCCTTAAAAGCACTTATTTAGCTTCAGAGAAACGTGTAGCTGCAAGTTTAGAGCTGA